ACCTTCTCCGCTCTCTCTCTCTCCTGCTCTTCTCTCTCTCTCCTCTCTCTCTCCAGGATGTCAGGATTTGGGTGTTTGTTTAGCTTGTATGTAAATAGTTTGTTTGAGCTTGTAAATATTTAAACAGTTTGTTTGTTCTTCTCCTTCGCTTTTGTAGATTTAAAATCAGTTTTCTTTAAATATACAATGTTCCTGTAGTGAGTTTGTGATTATTTGTCTAAATAATAATAATAATAATAATAATAATAATAATAATAACAATAATAATGTTCAAAGTGTGTGTGTATGTAAGTTTTCATCTCTGTATACCAATCAGAAACAGGTTTGCATTTGCACTGCGGTTTGCAGTAATGCATTTATTGATCAAACTATGGTATTATATTTGTCCCTCAGTTCTGAGCGAGCAATGGCAGATTTGGAGCACAGAAAAATATATTTTGCAAGCAGAGAAATTATACGCAAACAAAAAAAGAATTTGTTGGAGCAAACAGAAATCTATTCTGCAGTGGCTAAGTGTATTTGCATGTTGCTGTTATACATATTAATGTGCAGCAGACAGACCCAGTTAGTGACAAGCTGGTGAACATAGTGGAGCATTTAGCAGCTGAATAGCTAGATATTTTTCTCAGGAGTTGGTGGAGACCAAAAACGGAGCTAATAGAGAGTGAATATTGGACTGGTGGCAAATTAATGATAATGTTGCTCTGGATTTGATGAATGTGTAAATGGACAACTAACACATTCACAATAACAATGTTTACGGAGGTATTATGTCAGCGTTGTGTTTTTTCTGTACAATTTCCACATTTAATTATAGTTTGGAGTCATCATTGTGGAACTTCAAATGGGTTATCTGCAAGATGTGTTAGAGGCATGTTGCTTCATCTGATTAGTCCTTAATATCACAGTCTTCTTACTTTTCAGTGTGCCGGCGGTGTTGTTAGGGCTTTCCCACCGGTTCATTTGTCCCTGGGAGCAGGTCTCGTTGTGGTGGAGGGGCAAGAAGGAAACCCGGCAGGCAGAGAGACAGCAGGTCAGGCGGGACTCAGCATGCCTCTGTTCTTCAGAAAGAGGAAACCCAGCGATGACTCCCAGAAGAGACTGGAATATCAGCTGTGCCGGGTAAGAAGAGCGTTTAACAACGTTAGCTCCAGTCACCACCTCACAGCTTTAGAACACCATGATGCTCGTGCCGACAGTCACATCAGTAACCTGCATGATAATACTGAGGCAACCTACAGCCATTTTTGTGTGATCATGAGTATTATGATCGCTCCGTTCAGAGCGTGTGGCCGGTTGCAGTGTTCTTTGTTAACCGCACATCCAATCAACTTCACACTCAACACTGCACTCCCTTTGGTCCTCAGCAGTACGCCTGCCAAGTGTGAAGTTGATGGGATAGAGGGTTCTCGAGATACCTGACATGACAAATCTACACATGCCCACCAAAGACATGACCTTTTTTGTGATATATATGTGAGCACACTTTGCAGAGTAACTTTTTCCAGCATGGTCCACGGTGCATTCTGTAAATTTGGCAATGAGTGCTTAAAATGTGTAGGGGGGTAGGGGTAGGGGTAGATTTTATTTCTGAGACTACAGACGAAAACTTAAAGTTCATTGTTATAGTGCAACCATCTACCCGCATTTCATCTAATCTGACACTGAACTTCCTTGGACCCTCAGAAATACACCTGCCAAGTGTGGAGTTGATCTGTAGTGGAAGGTTTTTAACATACCATTATGTGCCTTTGCTGTCTAAAACAAGGAATATCTGTTGCAACAACCCCAGTAACTGTTATTCCTTGTTCTTCAGTCTAAGGAGGCAGGTGCTGATGACATCCTGGACATCTCAGCTTGTGAGCTCTCAGAGGTGAGTATGTTACTGTCAACAGGCATGTAGCAAACTTCACTGATGACTAGCTGTAAAACTCTATTAATTATGCAACAAATATTTGAAAGCCACTGTGTTTTACAATACAGTTCAACCAAAAGCACTACCAAGTTAACTTAAAGGAATAGTTCAATATTTTGGGATTTTATTTATATCCCTTTTCTGTTTTCCCATTTAATCCCTTTCTTTCTGAGAGCGAGATGGGAAAATCTTTGTTAAGTACAGAGTTGGACCAATGATGTGGTTAACCTAGCTCAGCATAAAGACAGGAAGCAGGGGGAAACAGCTAGGTTGACTCTGGCCATACCAGCTGGGAAATATTTCTTTTTATTATTTTTTTATCTCCTGTTTGTGCTTTTTGGGGAGTACAGCTGCATCTGCAGAACGGTTTGTAAAAGTCTGCATTACTGAATGTGTGGCTAATACTGCAGACAATGACATCTGTGGTCTGTTCTGCCACAGGTTCCCTCAGGTGCTTTTTCCATTTGCAAGGTGCTACAGAAGAAGGTGAGAATGCAACATGGACATGTATTTTCAACCACATGCCTGTGTCTGTGTGTCCTTGCTTGTCAGCAGTCAGACATGTTTCTCTCCTTCAGGTCCTTATCCTCCATAACAATGAGCTGAAGTCATTGGTACCCAGAGGCTGTGACATCAGCACTCTTGCCACTTTAAAGGTAATGTTAACTAGACACAGGCATGATGGGAAGTTTAAGTGTATTGCAGCATTGTATGCTTTTAAAACCAGTTTGTGGACATAATTGTAGTTAGTTTGGTCTAGGTTACCGTCCTCTTTCCACTGCTCATTTCCAGCATTAAGTAGTCAGATGTTAGGTTTGTGGTTTTATGACGATTTCTGCATTTTTATGACCACATAAGCAGAAACAGCTCCTGCTAGCCTAATCTCTCAGCTTACTTTCCTTATTTACTTTGCAGTGCAGAGTTTCTGCATGTATAGTGGAACCCATAAGGAAGGAGTTAGGTCAGGGATTGCATTGCTGTACTGTCATAATGGTATGGCTGTACTGTGGCTAAAATGTTATGAATTTACTAATAGAAAGGTGGAAAAAAGGTAATAATTTATACTCTCTTTTATTGATTTACCTCTACAAAAAAAAGAAAGAAGCCTAATCTTTATATCCTGCTTTATTGCTAACCATAGATAAACTTGACTGAATCTTTCTGCTATCAAAGGTTTTGGATCTGCATGAGAACAAGCTCACCTCTCTCCCAGAGGACATTGGGAGGCTGGCGTCACTGCAGGTAAAGCCATTCTGAACTCAACTCCTGGTACAGAGAAAAAAGAGTGAATGCTACTAAAATGTCAGTCAGTGTACTCTGTGGATTTTTAAACGGATTTTTGTTTTAAAATGTGAAAACCAAAATCAGTAAACAAGCTGTTTTGACATAAAAAAAAAATTACCTTCTTACTAAGTAAAAAACTTTTTTTGTTCTGAAAATAAGGAATAACTTTTCTTTTCTAATAAAAAACGAGAACAAAGGAAAAAAACACATTGTTCAGTTTTTTCTGTTGGATGCCAAGCACACTGACCCTCAACCTCCATGTGTGTCCATTTTGTGTCAGATTCTGAATGTGGAGAAAAACCGTTTAAAGGCACTGCCGGACTCCATCGGGGATCTGCGGCTTCTGCAGACGCTCAATTTGAAGGGTATGGCGCTAACGGCTTCTTGCTTACTTCCATGAGTGAGAGGACGTGTACGGGTCCAATGACGCTGTTGTTCCCTGTCACTGTGTGTCTGTATAGGTAACTGTCTCAGTGAGCTGCCTTCCTCAGTTTGTTCTTTGAGCAGCCTGCGCACCCTGGACGTGAGTGACAACAACATCGTCCAGCTGCCCAAAACCCTGGCCTACATCCGCACACTAGAGGTGTGTCTTCGTTTCAAACTTACAGGAATACTTTATAGAACTTGGATATGGTTTTGTACAAACCCTTTGTGTGTATGTGTGCTGTGACAGAGCTTTACACTTGATGCTGCCACGATGTCCTACCCACCTGTGTCTGTGTGTACAGAGGGCACAGAGAGCATCCAGCGCTTCCTATGCTCCGGTGAGGGTTTACTTTATGCTACTTACTGCTTACACACTCACAACACAGAGCTAGTGTCAGCCAGTGCACTGGTACAACTCTTATATACTCTCAGTCTTCTAGTGTAGTTAATAGTTTTGATGCCAGTGGAGTTCTGTATCATTTAAAAACTAAAGCTACATTGAGCTGCGGTTTCAATTTTCAAAATAGGATTTTATTACCACACAGGGGCAAGTAGTCCATTAGTGGAAATGCAGGTTAATTCATCATCAGACTATATCAGAGAATATTGTTGTTTTCAGAACTGGGAGAGGAGTACTGCCCTCCATCCCAGTATCTCCTGCCAGTGCTGGAGAGTGACAGTGGCAAACAGAACTCTGACTGTTTGGACGGCTTGGAGGAGGCCTGGCAGGTACAGTAGGCGACACACTAACACATAGTCGATAGAATGACTATGAAATGCTGTTTACTTTGTTTACCTTGTCAACTGCTGCTTACATTGTATGAATTCAAAGTCTTATTAATTTTTTTATTACTTTCTGTTGCAGAACAAATTCAGCGACTACGAGAAGAGAAAGGTGTGTGACTCCAGAGACACTATCGCTGTTAGATTCAGTCTCTGGGGGCTCCCTGTTTTAATCATGGCCTACTCTGTTGACTTAAGACAGCTTAGGCAAGACAGTCCCCTTTCTTCAGCGCAGTTTCTTAGAGGATGGGTTTTACCTTATTTTTCTTCAGTTACTGATCAGAGAATATCCCTGCTTACATTTAAAACTGCACTAATCAATATTTTTTAATTAACAATGGATCAAATGATTATGTGTTATGTGAAAGGGGTCACTTGTAATGACAAACCCAATTGTCACCAACTCTACAGTTTCCCACAGATTTTGGTTTTATGGTCTGCAACCTTACTGTTTTGGTTCAGTCTCATCCAGACCCTTTCTAAATCCTGCCCCTTTTTACTCTGTGCTCCAATAACAGTTGAGCTAGCCTCAGTCAGTCAACTTTCTTCTTTCCTGTACTTAGATATGCTATGTGCTAGATGGTTAGAAAAGATCTTCTTAAGTTGGCTAATGTTAGCAAGGCCCTAGCTAAGTAGCTAGCTAATCTACATCAGTCGTTGGCTAGCTAGTTAAACCTGAAAGCTAATGTTAGCAAAACGACAGCTAACTACCTAGCTAATTTACATCAATCATTGGTTAGCTAACATTTTGGTAACATAAGCTAACTTGATATGACTATAGACACATATGAGTGTGTCAATTTTATCTTTTTAGTTTTACTGGTTGGCGCTTTGGTTGCATTGCAGGCTGGTAACAATGCGTAGCAGTTGACACACATTTACACATACAGTGTAGCGTCAGTATGAAGACGTACTGACTTGTCCCTCTGTCCTTCAGGTGCAGAAGCAGCAGCAGAAGCTAGCTTTCGAGAGGCATCTGGAGGAGAAGAAAAATGAGCACACCCAGCTTATACTCATGAACACCTCCCGCAAGGAAAACATGCTCAACTCAGTCCGACAGGTACCCAGTACGCTCACTCGCACTAGTGCTGGATAGATAATATTGATCCTCTGATGGAGCTGTGTCTTTGTATGTTGCTGTCTCATTGGATTTAAAATCCTAAATGAGCCTCTCCACTCATTGTTGCTGTTTTGAAATGCAATTTTAAACTGTCATTGAGGATATTAACAGTGAGCTGATGGGACATTCGGGGATGCATATGGTGTCCTTTTATGGTTTTATGGTGTCCCGAAATAAGACACTGGAAAGAGCTTACCAAAGCAAACGATTAATGTGGCTATACAGAGTACTCTGCCTCATCTCTTCATTGTAGAGTTCATCATTCAGTTTTCATTTTAAATTGATCTATTTGTTTTTAATCTTAATTACTAAATTAAATATTTAAAAAAAAAAAAGCACATATTAAGTTAGCCTAGCATAAAGTTTTGCCATCAAATAGCTTATGTGTCTGTTCAAGCAGGAACAAAATCACTCTAAGGTGTTTAAAAAACATGTCAAGTCAATTTAATTTATATTGTCCACAATTACAAATCAATTGCATCAAAGGCCTTTAGTCAGTATAACATATGACAGTCTAAAAGTTTAGATCCTTGATTCAGTCAAAAGATCCCTTGAAAAGATTTAATAGTCTACAACTTCCCTACCCTGTCTGTGGCTCTCAGCTCCAAGACCTGGTTTGTACTTGGGAAGTAAATCAGATGCAAACAGCTCATAAATACATATATAGTTGCATTTGTAACAAAATTCTCCAACTGGTCACTGCTCACATCACTCAAGTGGGAGGAAATAGTGCATTTGTTCGGCACTATTTTCATCCGCAGATTAATCCACATTTGGTGCTTCAGTCAGTATTTGGCATTTATGGTTTCATCTCATTTCTGTCCTTTGTATCTGAATGGCTAACTTCTGACTAGTTAATAAATTAGTGGCTAAAATTCACCTCATTTGTTGGCTGTATACACTGGCAGTGCACCAACTATTTACAGTGAAACAAAAAAACAGCTAACCTCCAGCAAACAAGTGAAGTTACTACCAATTATGGAGTCTTTATTTTCTGTTCGCCGTTTGTTTTGAGTTGATTTCAGCTACATTAGTGTGTCTGGTCTGTCTGATGTGTAGGAGCAGGAGCGTCTGGAGCAGGGGGTTAACCAACAGCAGAGAGCTCAAGAGGCTGAGAGGCTGCTGGTGCTGGAAAAAGTCCGACAAGCTGAAGACAGCATCAGCAGTCGCATCAGCAACATGCTGATGGATAAAAACAGGTAGGACCTGGCCATGTAGAGTCCTGTTTGTCCATCACATTATAGATATTTTATGCCTACAGTGCCCACAGATGAGTCTCTGCTAACTGCTGTATATTTATTTCAATCTCCCCAGGCAGAAAAAGAGTGCAGAGTTTCTTCAAGCCATGGAGGAAGATCGGTGAGCAGACAGACTACTTATCCAAAACATCCAGATCTATTACAGCCACAAGATATGAGGCACTCCAGAACATAGCAGCACTCACCCATTTGTTTTCCACTCCGCCTATTTATAGAGCACTTTCCAAGTTAGATGCAAAGTGCTTTCCATGAGAAGGAAAAATAAAAACAGAATGACATGACTTAAAAACTTCACCACAGAGAAGCAAAATTTTGGCACAGTGTACTGTAGCAGAAAATTTTTCCTTCATAGCCAGTGGTGTAGAGGTGTCTTATCTAACATTATGTCCATCACATACAGTCTTATTCGGGATATATTTCTTTCTCTAGCTCATAAACGCTTTTTACTGTATTTGCTTAATATCTGTAGTTCAGTGAGCTACAGGTAGGCAGGTTTTGATCAACAAGGTACATTTGGTCCCTGGGTTTGCTGTTAATACAGCACTTCTCCCTAGGCTCTGTGCAGTTTGTCTGGGATAGTTGTGTTGCCAGGGAGGAGGCTCTTTGTTTAAGACTAAAGTCTTGGAACAAAGTCTTTGTGCACAGTAAACACTACAGATTACATACAGACTGTAAAATGAACGCCTGCACCCTCACTCTGCAAGATGTGAACTCATACTTACCTTTGGCTATTTTTAGTTACATTTTTTTAATAAAAAATAAAAATACAGGAAATGTCTTTAGTTTTAGTCTTTATTAATTTGGTCAGATTTGTCAACACAACAATATGAGGAGGCATTGTTCATATGTTTATATGTTCTGAACTTAAATCCTGCCCCCCAAAAACTAAACTGAGACAAGCTCTAGAAACTGAAACTTAACTGAATTGAAAACAAAATAAAAACAAACCAAAAAATACTATAATAACTACACCACTACTGCACATCTACACTCTTGGTTATAGCCACTCTCATGTAAGTGATGGGCAACAAACTCTACAGTGCTGAGTTCGGCTGAAGCTGATATGACCCTTCATAAGTCCCGCCCCTTTTTGCTTTGTGCTCCAGTAACAGTTGAGCAAACCTCGGTCAGAAGCTTGGTTTCTTTGGGACGATTTGGGAAAATTTCATGTCAAGATTATCTTGGCCAAAATAATTGCAATACACAATATTAACGAGATAATCATGAGTATATACTTCATAATTTAAAAATGGCACTAAAACACACTGGAATCACTGACCTTACATTTAGTCAAGAAACATATATTTATTGCATCCCTGTTCTGTATTTTGGAATCTATATTAATTCCACACATCCTGTTTAAAAAAAAATTTCTTTGGGGGTTACAACGGCAAGCTGAGCCTAAAGCCATGATGAGGAACAATTTTAAAATGACTGGAAAGATTCGGGCTCCCCCTTTTCCCCTTGTTTAAAATATATCAGGAGATCAATATAGGCCTTTTTTTCTGTAGCGCTAGACAGCTTTTCCAAGTCAAGCCATGTAAAGATATTCACGAATATCACAATAATGAAAATTCATGATGATTTGCAGTAATATTGTATCTCGTCCCAGCTCGGCTCCATGCTTACTGCTAAAAGTCAGCATAGGATTACTATAAATTATTGTTTGTTGACTTCCCCCTCAGGATCCGTATGGAGCATCTGACTGCCATCACACAGGAAGAAACCAATTCACTGAGGAAGAGGGATGTGGCAGGTAAGAGCGTATACAGTGTTTCTGCATGTGGAGTCATGGCTGGAGTGCCCCGGTTTTTCACAAACCATGAACCCAAAACATGTACTTCATTTTGACAGTGACCTATTGTACATTTAGTAAAGCCAGAAAAAAAAACAATATAAATATTTCCAAGTATTTCCATCAATTTATGTATTTACTAAATAAAATAAGTGGATTGCACTATCAATTTATTAACTGTAAGCTGGTAAACCTTTTGGATTTAAAGACTTAATGGCCTTTCATCCAACACCAATCTCTTATTTTATTTATCCGGCAGTTTCGCATTGTTCTGCATTCGTACCCTCACAACACCTCTTTCCTTTCCTCTGCTATCCCCTCTCTTCCCTCTCTGTGTTTCTAGCTGCCATGCAGAAGATGCTGTCAGACAGCTGTGCCATGAGCATCGTGCAGGAGGCCAGTGACTTTCGCAGACAGAGCCTGGTGTCCGAGACCTACAGAAGGTTCGACATCCACACACAAACACACAAACGCCATATCCGAATGGATGGATGTAAATATTGCAAACAAATCACAACTTTGAGACACACGTTGCAAACTCTTCCATTGTCTTATAACAGTATGGAGTCTTTGGACAGGAAGTTTGACAAGATGCTGTCCCTCCAAGTTTTGGACAAATCTAAAGCCATCGCCCACATCTTACAGGAGGTAGGTCTTCTCTCGTTGTCACCAGTATCAGAGAGCTTGGTGGAGAGACCTAACTCGGTGTAAATCAAAATCTCACACATTTCTCACACATTGCTTAAAATGCCTTGTCCTCTGATTGTTCACTGCAGGAGGAGATGCAGAAAGCAGCATTCCAGGCCCTGCAGCTGCAGAAAGATGCTGTACACGGCTACATCCGCAACCAGGTCTGTATGGCCGGGCGCCGATGGGTGGGGTGAGGGTCAAACCTGTCACTGGTCTCTTTTATGGAGCTCACAATCACATGAAAAGCTGTGCAGTAGAGGATGTAGATGCATGTTTTTGTGACTGCTTAAACAACCTCAGACATCCCAGTTAAGCTTTTGTTCAAAGTCATATTTTATATTACTATAGTACTTGTAACATTACAAAGAAATGATCTAGACGGATAGCTCAAGCTCAAGAAGAAATCAAAGTATGAGTGATTTTGCATTCTGGGAAATAAAAAAAATGGTTCTGGTATCCTTTAAGAAATAGTTAAAATATCATCATAGAGCATCATCAGAACTACACTCATCTCTTATTATAGGAACAAATCATGCATGGCATTCCTCAGTTTAACATTCTGTATGACTCATTTTACGTTACTTTTTAAAGTTAAAGTAAAGACAGTTTCATATTTGTGTAGCTTGTTAATGTTGTCACTGATTGCAGCTAGACTGCTTTCGTGCATTTTGTTTCAGTACCTGCTGAGTCATCCTGCTGAGCTGCTGCACAGTCTGTTGTGTTTGACCTGCTTCGTAAAAAAGCTGGAGGTCTTGCTACCTTTAGCTGTGTCTCTGTCATGGGTCCAGTTGTCCTGTTGGCTCAGCATTTCGTACGTTACCCCCTGACTCCAGCCATGACACAGGCCAATGAATGGGGAGCTAAAATCCCAGATGGGGAGAAGCAACAGGTAACATCGTTGCCCCCTCAGCCTGTTAACCAGCCTGTTAGGCACGTAGTGTGACTGATATCTTCAGATCACAGATGATGAGGCTCATCCGGCTAAATAATAAGTAAGGATATTAAGTATTTGTTGAAAATAAAAAATATCTATAGATAAGAAAAACGAACTGAAAGTGCAAAAGTGAGACTACATTAGGATTTTAATAGTGAGGGGGTCTTTTCCCACCCATCCCCAGTGGAAATTGTCCTTGAGAGAACATCAATACAGGGAGTGCTGTCACTGCAGAAAAATACAAAATAAAACTTGAACAATGAAATTATTGTCACTTCTTTTTTTCTGTTTTTGTTTTTGCTTCACCTGCAGCCCGCCCATAGCTAACTCATTTTTACTTGTACTCCTTGATGTTTTTAACTTTTTGGTTTACGTGCCGGGTACCCGCGAAACCCTGTGCAATATTACCCCAGACAGGAAATCATCTCATCAGTGTTTTCATCCTGACATTCAGCAGCATGTCCCTTCTCCCTGCTCGCTTTATATTTGCCTCTCCACTGTCCCCAGATCAAGCTCATAGAGGGCGAATTAAAGCAGCTGACTAAATTGGAGATTAAAAGACGCAGTCTGGATGCTGAGAACCTGCAGGTGGGTGTCACCGCCTTCTTCCTTTGCCCTCCCGCATTGACTTGATTTTTGTTTCTTCTTTCTATTGATTCCAATATAATTTCTTTTCGCTATTTTCATGTCATTGCTCCATGGAAACAGCTAGTCATTGTACACACTGAGGGTCAAGGACATAATCTAAAGTAAACGCATATTGAATACATGATTTCAATGAAGTGATAAGAATAATTATATTAGTGTGTTCAGTCCTTCAACAGTATTTACTGGTGAGTGTGTATTTTCATTCTACCTGATGCGATGGTGTGTGTGTGTGTGTGCAGGAGGTTCTAGTGGAGCAGCGCACAGCTCTCAGTGATTTGTTGCAGCAGCTGCTGAAGCAGAGAGACCAGAGGGAGCAGGAGCTGCGACATGTGCTGGTGAGGAAACAGCTATAGCCGGGCCTGAGTGGGCACCACTTCTCTCTTTCAGTGTCTCATGCTCGCCTCTCTGGTTAGACTACATGATTTTCAAAGCCCTCAGATCGCTGTACTGTTCAAACTACCTGTAATCTGGACTCAGCAACAAGGGGGTCCACACTTCAAGATCTTTCACAAGGAGTAATCTGAGTATGTCTGGTCTCCAAAATATGTTTCATTAGGAGTCATTTATAACGACATTAATAACAAGCACTTTGTGTTTAATTAGGAAAGTAGTTTAAAAACACTCACACAAAAGGCAACCATTTACTGCATACTTTCATTAGAAGCTGAGTACAATAAGCTGATAATTAGCCTGATTAGCCAGCTTCAGTAATTAATACACAAATAATTAAACCATTTAATCAATAAATAACAGCACTCAGCATCAGACAACCTTATCATACTTCAGCAGTTACCTAGTGTTTCTGTAGTGGTGACCAAAAACATTAAAAATATACATATTAGCTGTTTGAATGCAAGTAAAAAGCTCATTGTACCAAACTCCATTTAAGAAATATTGCATTTTAACAATTCTTAACATGTCCTTACTAAAGCTAAAGTGTGTCATATGTCGACAGTGTTGTTGTCAGTTCTGCATCAATATAATGCATGAAGATAAACTGTAGTCTGTACAAACTTGACATTTTGTCACTTCAACTCACTCAGCCTCCAATGTAACTGCACTCTTTCAGTGGGAGAATGAACTGTGGAAATGAGAGGGGGATTGTTTCAATAATTAATCGGGGTTAAAATCATGTAGTGTGAACTCTGCATTATGTGTTATCAAAACGGTGCTGCTCTAGAGGGAGATAACACACATCTGTTAGTTGTCATTTGAACTGAAACGTTCAGTCTGTTGTCTTTCTCATCCTGGGATCAATAGTGTCTGTGGTTAAATGAGACCAGCAATTGCTTTGTGTTTTCCAGGCTGAGATGGAACGGAAGTCTGAGTCCAACCAGCAGAACTACTGGATGATCCAGTACCAGAGACTGTTGGATGCCAAGCCACTGTCACTGCGCATGCAGGTACAGTACAGAGCAAAGGACACACAGAAACAACTGAAACCAAAGTGTGCTGTTCCTAAACTGTCATTTTATTGCAGGAAGCGGGCGTGGAGAAAGAGTTGGTCAACCTGCTGTGCAAACTGTCAGCTCAGCACTACCTGCCCATCCTGGCTCATCATCGAGTGACCACTGAGGCCCTTCGCCACATGAACTCCTCTGACCTCAAGAAGGTCTGTCTGCAACACTTACACATCAGTTGCCACTGACATTGGAGATCTTTGACTACGTACTGTAACTCTGTTTCAACATCAGCTGTCTTATTTATCAACACAAGGTCACCACTCGCCTGTGCAGAAGTGGTGTTTGCTTGAGCTGATGTACCAGCACCTGTACAGAACCCATTAACATGCAGACTGGAGAACTGCCTACCCTCCACTAAGCTTGGGGCAATATGAACATTTCTTGTCACAATTATCCTGATAAAAATAATTTTACAATGTTGTACCAATAATCACCAAAATATAATAAAACTCTTAAAATGAGCCTAAAGCATACTGGAATCACTTTACCTTACATTTAGTTAATAACTGTAAGGTAATGTAGCTGTGTATTGGCAGGACTGGCAATATAATACGTGTCACAATACAGGGGTTACAATTCTGTATATTGCCATGCTGTAAACAAGGCAATAGGTTGCAATTTTAAATAGAATCTAATTTTAGGAAAACTATGTGTTTACAGCTGGTTGTGCTGCCCTCAAGTGGCCAAAAATGTAATTCAGTTGTAACTCTTAATGAATGTGCAGAATAATCAGCATTGTTCATTTCTCTTTTTTCAGCTTGGCATTAATGAAATAGGAATCCAGAAAGCTCTTCTGAAGTGGGCTCGGGAACACCCTTCTGAAGGTACATTACACACCCATGTCTCTATACATTATACAGTTATACTGCACTTACTGCTACAGATAGCTTCTTTTGCAATCTGCTCTCTGATGTGAGATTTCGAAGCAAAGACATGGTCTGTGCCCACACTGGTCATATGCAAAGTCTCTACAATCATGCAAGCTCATAATGTTCAAATTTTGCTGACATTGTCAGAAAAGTGCTTTTAGTAAAGTCTCAAAGAAACTCAGGGAATGTTGTCAAATTATACAAATGGATTAATGTTAAGATAGCAAAAACTTATATTTCTACCTTTTCAACGATGGAGGATGATGTTTAGGGCATTGAAACTCAGGAAGTCAATGAAAACCTGTTTGCTGTCCACTGATTATTTTCTCCTGTACCAGGAGCTTGTAAGGCTGTCCTGCAGGACGAGGAGGCAGAGCTCACTCCCTCGGCTCCGCCCCCTGCCTCCCCTCCATTACTTCCCAACATTTCCCAAATCCCCAGCCCACCACTCACCCCGGGGACCCCCGTCACCCCTTCAGCCCCCAGCCCTGTGGAGGGACCAGGGAGCTCTGAGTGTGTGGTCTGCATGGAGAGCGGGGTAAGAAAAAAACTCAGCAAAAACCAGAAAATAACCGGCCTCAGTCTCAATAATCATATACTCTCGCTTTCACTGCTCTTATTTGCCTATCAGCATTGTTTTAAAGCGTCAAAAGATACTAAACGAGAGGGATGAGGAATACCATGTCTTAGAACATTAAATACAGTTTCATTAACTTTTCACCAGTAGTGAGATATCACTGACGAGCAACAACAGAACTAAACTACAGCTCCACTTGTGGTGTCCCTCAAGGTTCTGCTCCTGGCCTTTTTTTGGTTTGTTAGGGACTGCTATATGACATAAACTTTAATATTTACTTTCAGGCAGCACAGACATCAAGCCGGCCAAAACTGCCTTCACCATCCTAAAACTGCATCTTGTTCAGTGGAAAACATATTATGTTTTCAATCCACAGAAAGCATACAGGGGTTGTATATATGATAAGAATAGATTAATTGCTGTAGATATACCAAATATCATACCCATATATTAGATTAACTATAAATCAAACCATAATACTTAACAACAAGTCTAACGTTTCTGATGCAGTCTGTTGAGGTTATATGAATATGGTGACATCTGATACCATCAACATTCTATCTTCTGTGTGACACATCATGGACCATATGTACATATGCGTAGTGACAACAAGCACAGTTTTCAGATAATTTAGCTAATGTTAGCAAAAATGCTACCTTAGATAATACTGAGAAGGAAATTTAAACATTTTTCTGGAGCTGATAATTAGTTACTGAACAGTTAAGTTAAGCAGTTACTCCAAAAAAAAAAAAAAAACTTGATCTTTGTAGTAACAAAGTGAAAATATTTAACCTTAGCACACATGCACACACTCCTACAGCTGACTCGTGTCTTATCTTTTTTGTCTCTCCAGTCTCAGGTCATTTTCCTGTCCTGTGGTCATGTATGCTGCTGTCAGGTCTGCAGCGACGCTCTGCAGAACTGCCCTCTTTGTCGTAGCAACATATCCCAGCGCATACGCCTGTACCACAGCTAGAAGCAAGTACAGCGCCGCGCTGGTCCTCCACCGACTGCAGCTCTTTTTATTTATGCATGATCATAAAGCTGTTGTGAGCTAACCCTCGTCATGTATAGAGAAGCTTTTAGCGGGTTTTCAAAGAGCTGAGCCACTTTCCTGTATTAACCAAACAGTACTTTGTGATGTATATGCAGAAACAAGTTTGAATAGAACTATTTTTAATGGTGTTTTAATTGTGTTTTTGGTTGTCACCGGCATCCAAGCCTGTGTATTTTGTTGTTCTTTCTAAATTCTATCATTTTTTAAATATGAATTAAGATCCAGGTGGATGAAACTGCTCACTGGTTGAAGACTGACTGTTCTTTGCCTTATTATACCTTCTTAATTGATGTGCCTTTTTCTGGAAATCTTTCTTTTCATTTAACAATACTTCTGTGTTGTAACCAAAGTAACACCTGTCCAGTTCACTAAAACAATCTATGGATTGTTGTTGCTATTGTTGCTCATTGTATCACTAATGCACCTCATGTTGTTCTGCAATCAGTTACACAACTTGTCTTGCCCTCGCTGTGGGGGCCGTTTTTCAACCTTACTTTATTCTCCATTCCTCTTGTCTCTGACATATCTTTTCTATTCTTATTTCAATCACAATATATGGTGCACATGTACGAACTAACATCACCTGTTTGTAGCCACAACTAATGCTATTATACTCTTTCAAGTGCTCTTAACTCTAACATCTCAGCATGTTTCAGGTAAATATTATTGTATATGAGTCTGTTAAATGTAGTGTGTAAGAGATTCATGTCTATATAAATCAGACATTTCACAGACAATGTGATATAAAATACTGTGTATGTGTGTCAATGTAAAGTCATTGTGTTGCTGAAGAAAGGCACTGCTACACGAGCAGCCACATCTGGAAATGTACTGAAAAACAGTATACAATTAGAAAGATGTTGAGTCTGTATTATATGTAAAAATATCTGATATTGTTGGACACCTGCTGTCATTTTACGTCTTAAGTGAAATTGGCATTTTGGCTAACTTCCTGTCCACACCACCACACTGAAATTCAGCTGCCTGCCCTTAAGGACCGCCTCTTTGTGGAGTTCTCTTTCCTGATTGGATAAAGTGGAAAAAGGATACCAAGAATTGTATTCTGTGTTTACTTCAGAAAGGAGGGACGACACTATACAAATTAAAGTGAATTTGATTGAACACTATATCGGTGATGGCTGTCAGAATGTAGAGCTAGTTAACACTTATTTTAACATGGTAAATCTTATCACCATTATCATCTTATACAATATATCACTTACAGCTCTTTTAAGTTCTGAACAAGAATCCACATTCTAACATTTGCAGGAAGCTTGGTGACAGCGTACTGTAGATTAGATTCAACTTTATTGTACCAAGACAACAAAATGCAGTTAAGCATCTAACTAGAATGTACATATGTACAGGGATATATATATATATACATCTAAAACATAGATATATATGAATATGCTAGCAGGATATATACAGTATGAACAGCATTTACAGAATGAATGGAGTGAGGGGAATAAACTAAGATATATACAGCTACTAAGTTAAGATATTTACAGTATGAACAGATTAGCTGTAAATGATATAGCATCTTTTCTAATTAGTTGGGAGGAAGATGGAACACTGGTGAACGAGTTACATGGCTCCTTTACTTAAGTAAAATAGTATTACAATGTAAAAGTCAAACATCTATATTTAAGTAAAAGTACAAAGGTATTATCGGAAAAATGCCCTTAAAGGTCCAGTGTGTAACATTTGGGATCTATTGGCAATTGGCAATATTCATAGATATGTTTGGTATGGTATCAGCTGAATATAGGAATCATTGTATTTTTGTTACCTTAGAATGAGCTGTTTTTATCTACAGAGTCCACCATGTTGAACCGTCATGTTCAACACTGGCTCTGGATAGGGCCTTTCACGTTTTTTTCTGGTCACTGC